TACTACTATACTACTACTACTTACTCTGCTAGCCTACTGATAATCACCTTGCCTTTCTGTCTCCCTTCTCTTGCCCCCCTCTTAGGCTCTACCTCCTCGTCCTCGCGTCCGTTCTCGCCTCCTGCCCACCCTGGCCCCACCCCTCCCCTCCCACTACTATTACTACTACTTCTACTACTACTACTACTACTACTACGACTACGACTACGACTACGACTACGACTACGACTACGACTACGACTACTACTACTACTACTACTACTACTTCTACTACTACCACCACCACTACTACTACTACTACTACTACTACTACTACTACTACTCCTACTACTACTACTACTACTACTACTAGTACTACCTACTATTACTACTGCTACTACTACCACCACCACTACTACTACTACTACTACTACTACTACTACTGCTACTTTTACTACTACTACTACTACTACTACTACTACTGCTGCTGCTGCTGCTGCTGCTGCTACTACTACTACTACTACTACTACTACTACTACCTACTACCTACTACCTACTACCTACTACTTACTACCTACTACCTACTACCTACTACATACTAGTACTAGTACTAGTACTACTACTACTACTACTACCACCTCTACTACTACTACTACTACTACCACTACTACTACTACTATACTACCACTAACTACTCCTAATACACTACTACTACTACTGACTACTACTCTACTACTACTACTACCTACTACTACTACTACTACTACTACTACTATAACTACCTCCTACTACTACTACTACTACTACTACTACTACTACTACTACTAACTACTACCTAACTAATATACTACTACTACTACTACTACTACTACTACTACTAACTACTACTACTACTACTACTACTACTACTACTACTACTACTACTACCTACTACTACTACTACTACTACTACTACTACTACTACTACTACTACTACTACTACTACCTACTACTACTACTACTACTACTACTACGACTACTACTACTACCACTACTACCTACTACTACTACTACTACTACTACTACTACTACTACTACTACTACTACTACTACTACTACTACTACTACTACTTCTATACTACTACTACTACGACTACTACTACTACTACTACTACTACTACTACTACTGCTACTACTACTACTACTACTTCTATACTACTACTACTACTACTACTACTACTGCTGCTACTGATAATCACCTTGCTCTTTCTCTCCCTTCTCTTGCCCCCCCTCTTTGGCTCTACCTCCTCGTCCTCGTGTCCGTTCTCGCCTCCCTCGGCCCCCCTGCGCCCCACCCCTCCCCTCCTTTTAGTCTCTCGGGGGTCGAGCGCCGCAGGCGCCCCAGGAGGGCCTGGCCGCCGACGCCCCAGAGTTCGTGCCCGCAGGAGTCCTGCACGAGGACCTCCCCGATGCCTGACTTTGGCGCGCGCTGCTCAATTTGCGCAGCAGCGGGGTGCAGATCCAGGAGGAGGAGGGTGGCGGAGGTTTGGGTCCCTCCGATGGGGTCGGGGTAGCTGGGGTCGGAGGATCGCGCCGCATCGCCGATGCATCGCCGATGCGGCTCGGTGTGGGGCCCAATTTGCCTCACGTCGACGTCGCCGATGCATCGCCGACGTCGACGATGCATCGCCGGTGCATCACCGATGCATCGCCGATGCATCGCCGATGTATCGGCGATGTGGTGCGATCCTCCGACCCCATCTACCTAGGAGGCCTCTAGGAGGGGAAGAGGGAGATCGCATTGGTGATCAGATGCGCCCCGCCTTCCACAGCAAGAGTATCAGGGGACGCCTATTCCTGTCCAGCAGCTGTTTAGGGCACCATAGCACTCGCTCACGGTTTCGCTGTCCAAATGCATGCGACAGCTGTATGTGGCACGAAATTGGGAGCTAAGTTTTTTGGCCGGGATGGCCTTGTAGCGACTGGTACGCCCCCAGCCTCGAATTTACCCACAGTGTTTGCACCGAGAGGCGTTTGTATGTTTTTGTCATGAACTCGCCAGGCGTGAGAGCACTCGGGGAACACGGGAAGGGCGCCCACAGGTGGCGACCGGGCGACAACTCGGGAAACTTGCCCGCGTGCTTACAATGGCCGAAGCTGTGCACTCGAGACTGCACCCGCGGCGCCCAGAGCACAGCTGCGGGCACCGCGGCAGGCCCTTCGCAATGAGCGCCAGGGAGGGAAAAGGCTTTTCTCGTGTTCACAGTCGGACCCCATTCTGATCAATGGCGTGTCACGAAGAGGCTACGGCCTGAACGCTCGCGCCCTGATGTGCACGGAGACTGATCCGAGAGCGAGCGCGAGTCGAAAACAGAAGTCGCAGGCCTGCCCACGAACAGGCTGCCCTGCACTGGCGCCCCGTGTCACGGGCTCGGTGCGTCGAGGGTTGGGGATCCAGTTCCCCACAGTGGCGCAGGCTATGGGGGCCTGTGAGCTGCCGCTGCACGCCCCTGGTCTGGACCCAAGTCGGGAGCGCCGCTAGCGGGCCCAACCTGGTTCAGCCCAACTTACGAATTCGACAACGGGTCAAAAGCAGGAGTGTAGCGCCTGCCTGCGCTTCAGGGGCTTCGCGCGCGAACCCGCAGGGCCGCTGCCTCGCTCGCACCTCCGCGTGCAGGCACGGCACCTCCTGCTCCAGCGGTCGCCTCCGAGGCACGGCCCGCTGGGGGCGACGACGGTGGGGTCGGTGCAAGTTTTGTCTGAGAAACCTATAATTAAGGAGATGTGTGTACGTGTGTACGTACCTTTATGTATATATATAGATATGCTATATTTAGGTATGTAGGCACCTACATAGCTCGATCTAGGAATACATCCACACACACATATTTTTATATATATATATCAATATTTATACATATTGATATGTATAACCGTATGTATATGTATACACATTTATATATACTATATTTATACATATATATGTACATACTTATGCATGATCCCATACATACATGTATACATATATATATATATATGTATACGCACCGCGCCGAGGAACAATGCGGCGCGGTCATGCAAGATTCATGGCGCTGGCGTCGTTGGCGATCGGGGGTTGGGGGGGCAAGCTGGCTGCTTGGACTCTGTGATGGGCGCGCGGGTCTAGGCGGCGACTCTTGCTGGGATTCCAGCTTGCGCGCAAGAAAGACTATCGCCGCTGGAGACGACGGCCGTCGGTGAGGCGAGGGGCGACTGTGCGGCAGTCCGTCATGGGGCTGCGAACCGACTTCGTTGCCCCATTGCTGCCGTTGATGCTCGCGCCGCCCTAGAGAGCGACTTGTGCGGCGGCGGTGTTGTCGGGCGGCGGCGGTCGCGGAGCTGACGCGCCGGCGCATGGCCAGTCGCGGCAGCGGTCGCGCTCGCTGGGCCCGGGTTAGGGGCCCGCTTCCCCAGAGACGCGTCTCCCCGCGGTCGCTGCTGATAGGGCGTAAGTCAACGGTGGGACGGCATGGGCGCCTTTTGCGGTCGGGTGTTTCACCGTCCATATTTGCGCGCTTTGTTTTGTTTTTGAATTGGGATTTCGAATTCCCCTCGCCCCAGGGGTTCGCGTGGCTCCTCCCCCCCAATCTTCCGTTTCTTTTTGCTCCTCCTGCCTTCGCTGCTGCTCGGGGTGGGGGGCTGGGCCCCTGGCGGCGTCGGCTGCATTCATGCGGCCCGAAGGACGGGCAAAGCGCGCGGGCGACTCGCGCCCCCGCCCGTCGTCTCGTTGTCGTCACTTGTTCACGGGCCTGTCGGTCTCGTTGCAGTCGTGGGGGCCCCTCGTCACCGCGGCTGGATTTCTGCCGCAAGCGCCCCAGTCATGCGAATTTCGCTGACCTTCGCGGGCGAGCCAAGGTTTGCAGTATCCAGAATGGGGATTGGCGCCCTGTCGAGCCGCATCCGTCCACCATGCTCCGCGATATCTTGCTTGCAGGATTGGCCACCGCCAAGGAGCTGAAGTACGATGCGCTCTCGAATGGACTTTGCCTGTAAGGCCGAGTGGTCCAAGTGTGCCGAGTGCGGGGCCTGCAAGAAGCTGCCCGCCATGGAGCCGATGGAGCTACTCAGGCGCAGTCCTGGGATTCGACTAAGATGCTCACCAGCACGGACTAAACCTCCTCATGGAGGCTCGCCTTGTCGTCCAGGACTGCCAAGAGGACGACTCCCAGATCCCTGCGGGCGCGCCCGCTGGGTCCATGGGCGCGCTGTGCCTTGCGCTGGCCGCCGCCGCCCAGCGAGAGGCTGCTGCCCTTGCGCATCCCAGCCAAGAGCCCGCCCCCCAAGGACTCAGCCTTGCGAGATCGTGATGGTAACGTGGGCCATCTATGGTGCCAAAGACGCCTGGCGGCAGCGGGGCCTATATGCCCAGAGCATTGCCTCAACGAGAGCAAGCTCGAGGAGGGCCTTTACTACTTCTATGACGACGAGGGCCTCGCCTCCATGATCCACCCCCACGTGGGCAATTTCCTTATCGCCCAGCGCAAGTGCTCCAACGCCTGCAGACGAGTTCCGGATCGCCCAAGCGACCGTCGCCTCGTGGGCCGAATTCGTCGAGCTCGCAGCACGACGTGGCCGATCACCTGATGGCCGCCTTTCCAATGCCGAAGTTTCCGGGCGCCGACGCACTCTCGCGCAATTTTTACGGCTTGCAGCTCAGATCCGAGTTGGCATTGCCTGCCCCGTGAGGGTCGCCGCTCGCCGCGCTGGCGTCGCCACCGTTGCCGACGCCGAGGCGCTGTCGAGACTATCTCCTGCGTGCGCAGTTCCGCCGATTGCTCCGTCGTGTTCGAGCGGATTCTCATCGACCTGAAGACGCGCGCGACGGTTTGTTTCTGCGACGCCGCCTTCCCCGACATGTTTGGCGCCAAGAGTCAGTGGGCATGGTGGTGTGCCTCGTTCATGGGCCGCGCGACGTCGCTGGGGGCTGCCATGACCTTCTGCCGCCGTCGACGGGACCACTAACCCAGAGAAGCTGCTCTGCGATATTGCCCTCGGTTTCGAAACGGGCGAGGGCCTCGTGGCCCGCGTGCAATCGGACGTTGGCCAGTGCGCGGACGAGCAGTTCCGGGTCGTCGTTTCGACTCTCCAGGCTTGCGCCGCAGCCGCCGACCCCGTAGCATTTGTTGCGCCGATGTCCTTCGGCGTCTGGAGTTGCTGCGGTCGTTTCTAAGAAAGAAGTGAAAGGAGAGGAAGATGGTGGGCTGCGATCATCAGAGGGATCAATCGGAAAGGAAGACGACGATGAGGAGGAGGATGGGGGAGAGGACAGAGGGAAAGGACCACGAGGAGAAGGATGAGAGGAGGAGGAGGAGGAGCAGAAGGCTTCGCGCGGGCTGTCACGCCCCGAAGTATCCAATCGTCGGCGTCGGGTTGGGCTGCTGCTGCCGTTTTGTTTGTGTGTGTTTGTTTTGTTTTGCTTTTGGTTTATCTTGGTTTTCTTGGGCCGTCTTGGGCGCTCGCTGTCTCTCTCAGGGGGCTTCTGGGAACGGTTAGGGGGCTCTGGGGCCGGCGCTGATGTCGCGGGCGCCGAAGAGACGGAGGGTGAATGGAAGAAGGATGTCCGCGTTTCAGGGCGGCGAGCAGCGCGACTACTGGGAAACGCGGGCATGCGGATGATGGTTTGAATGCAGGTCGACGCAGCGTCGTGGAGATGGCGGCGGGCCGGGCCATGTCCCGGAAATTCTCGACGCCCGCTAGCGGTAAGAAGAGGGGTCGCAGAGCTGCCGACGCAAAGCCCCCCTAATTGACGTTTCATGGCGGCCCAGGGATTGGGGGGGCTTCGTCGTGGACAAGATTCGGAAGGGTATGTTTGAGAAGGGGGCGGAGTGGACTCGCGGCATTCACTTTTAGGCTGCAGCTTTGCAGGCCGGAAATGCGTCCGCCTTTGAGGGGGGCGCGATCCACGGCGCATGTGGCATAGGCGTGAACGGGGCGAAGGGTTCGAGCGCAGGGGGCGGCGGAGACGCAGAGGCGGAACATGAGGCGAAAAAGGAAGTGGCCGCGCAGCGAAAGTCACAGTGGAAGTGGTTGAGCGTCGACGAGGCGAGCATGGCGGGCGCGAACTTTTTTGCCGAGTTCGATTCGCATCGGCGGTCGTGCATGTCAGCGGCGAGCGACGCGAAGGTGGGATCAATTCGCGCAGACAGGCCGTTCGGAGGCGTGAACGTGTTGTTCAGCGGAGATTTTTATCAGTTGGAGCCGCCGTCGGGAACGGCAATCAATGCGGTGCCCGCGTCGCGCCTAGAGAATGCGCGGACGCGCGCGCCCTGTGCGACAGATGGCCACGGGCAGCGCGTTCTCTGCGGAGTAGGAGGCGAAGGGGCAGTGCAAGGACTGACGGAGCTGACGGAGTGCAAGCGCGTGGAAGACGAGGACGATTGGTTCCTTGGTGCAAGACGAGTTCCGTCGTGTAGAGCTGAC